AAGAAATGTGTTATTAGGCTAGTGAATATCACAAATAGGCGAGTGACATCACCATAAAATTTAATGCACCCAACTTACATACAGCTAAATCATATACCATTCAAAAGCATATCATGTTTACATTTTTTTTGCCCGGTCGTCAAATATTCGTACCGTGCAAGGTCAAGGAAGGACAATTTCTTATTTTGATGGATGACAGCATTTTTGCATATTCTGTCTTCTGAATAATAAAATTTTGTATGGTTCTTTTTTTGGACAGAGGTTAATAATCACTTATCAAACCCACTTTAGAATATTAATGACGCATTTTTGATAGATAGCGCCTTTTTCGAGAAATTCCAGTAAAAATGATAGAAATGAGTAATAACCAAAATATTTGTCTGTGATTTAATTTTTCATCACATACAACCAAATTACATATTTTATTTAGTGCTAAGGAAGTTTTTGACATCATCAAATTGCTGCAATCACGCTTCTTGCTAATTAAACAGCCAATCATGCAAACTAATACAGTTGCCCAAAATATCACCATCTGCAAAAAGATAACTTTTTAGACGTTCTACGTTAAACAAATTTTATGTAATCAATTCTAGGTTAAAAATCTTAAAAATACTAAAATGTTTAAAGGAAATAATACATGCGAGATTCCTGCTTTTAGTGCGAAATTTAAGGAGGGAACCTTTAATATTTTAAAATGTATTTTAGTTGCCAGTTATTCCGTCTTTTCTTTTTTTTTTCTATTAAGGTATTTAGGGCAATTGCAAAAGCTTCATTATAAGGCTGATTCATGACCAATGATTTTTCAATTGTAATTAAAATAAGGAAAAAATCCTTGAGCTATAAACAATAAATTTATTTAATTTTTGACACATAAAAATTGATATATCAAGACATGTTTTGCTTATAGCACAATATTATCATTTTTGGAGGAGTTTTTAAGAATTGCATTTTTCTGTAAATGTTGCGCAATTAACATTTTAATTTGCATTTGATTTGAAATTATGGTAATCTGTTTCATAAAGATTCATATAATTTGTAGGGGGGAAAAACATTAAAGAACCAGATAAGGGCGTTTTGTTTTTTTAATTCTTGCAACGGTTTGAAATGTTCATTCTTGACCTTTTAGCTTGATATAACAAAAAATGTATCGTACGAATTATTGACGACCGGGCAAAACAGAAATGATATCTTCATATATTTCGAATGATATATAATATAGCCGTATGTTAGTTGGGCGCATTAAAGTCGTTGATTAAGCGTCTTTGAAAAACATCACACGCCTAATAGCATGATAGGTTATTCAACAAATGAGAAAAGTGTAATTACACCATTGAATGTCAAACAGCAGAGAAAGTTATAAATATGTCAGAAGAACTAAACAAATTTGAACCAGTTCAAAAGTGTCATTAATAATTAGAAAGGCAGCTGTAAGAAATATATTTTTTAGTTCAAATAGTATGCTTTCAAGTTTATACTTATAATCTAAAAATAATTTTTATGCCTTAGATTAATTCAAATTCCATGTGTTTTATACAGAAGAATTGCTTTAGTGCTCATATGTGCTTACAGTATTTTTACCATTATTCATTTTTATTGTTTGTTTGTGATGCTAAACTGCTGTACGCGTGCATGCAGTCTATGATCATTTTATAGTGTAAGTTTATACAATAGGGCGATGGTAACTTAAAACATTAATTCATGAATGCGCATAGCGCATGAGTTAATTATCAGTGTTGTTTGGCCACGAGTTGAATAATTTCGATATTTAAATTCTTTTATTAATTATTCTTTTTATTACATTGACCATGGACTTTTTAACGAAAATAAACTATATTTTTTTATACGCATTCTCAATTGTTTTGATGCAACATCATCAACAACGTCTTGACAACACCCATTGTTATATGACATTAGAGGAGTGAAATTATCAGATTTATTTCACATGAGAAATTATTGGTTTTTATTTCCCTGGGAAATCACGATAATTTATTACAACCAAGAAGTTTTAAATAACGGTATGAAGGTTGCGAGTTCATATAATATGGAGTTTGTTTGCACAAAAGTAAGATAAAGAGGCTGTTAGAACAAACGATACAGGGAGGTTTATAATTTAAAAACTATGAAATGGAGACTGCAAGTACATGCGATAAGGAGGTTGTAAGTACACAAGAAGTAGAGGGAGGTTGAAAGTATGTTGATATGGAAGATGTTAGTACGCATGCTAAGGAAATGTCATTAAGTACGAAATAGAGGCTGTAATGATATGCGACAGGAAGGTTGTAAATACACAAGAAGAGTACAGAGGCTGCAAGTACAAATGATAGGTAGGATGTTATTACATACAATACTCAGACTCGAAGCATATGCGATAGGGGGGTTGTAAATACACAATAACAATGCAGAGGCGGTAAGTACATATGATAGGGAGGTTTTAAATACAAAAGAAGGATATGGAGAATTCAAGTATACAGGATAGGGAGGTTGTAGGTACACAAAATGGATACGAAGAATTTAAGTACAAAGGATAGGGAGGGTATAGGTACACAAGAAAGATATGAAGGATGCATGTGCATACGATACCGAGGTTGTACATACACAGGGAAAATATTGAATTATATGAAATGATTGAAACGATTAAATGTTTTAAATATTTCGTTAGTTTTAAATATATCTGTCATTTGTTAACAAGTAAGACATGTTTCAACCGACAAGTGAATGTCACACAACAGGATAAGTTATGAAACAGATTAGAAAGTTATATAATCCCGTCTCTTTTCCTAGAACGTGACCTACCAAATTAGATTTATTACAAGGTTTGTATTTACATGAGCAACACGACGGTTGACACATGTGAAGCAAGATCTGCCTACCCTTCCGGAGCACCTGAGATTACCCAGAGTTTTCGGTCGGATTTGTGATGCTAAGTCTTTTGTTTTCTATGTCGTGTTTTGTGTACTGTTGTTTGTCTTTTAGACGTTTTTCGTTTTTTTTTGTCATGACATTGTCTGTTTCTTTCCGACTTATGAGTTTAACTATCCCTTTGGTATCTTTCGCCTTTCTTTTATAAACATGTAAGTAGAGCTACACAAAGTTGAACCAGTTAAATAATTTCATGATAAATATCGGCAAAGGCAACTCTCAGAAATATTATTTTTGATTATAATATATGCTTTTTAGTTTGTGCTTATATTTTTAAAAATATTATCCTCACATTAAATACCATTGCATGGGTTTTATATAATAGAATTACTTTAGTGCTATTTGTGCATATTAAACTTTTACTAATTGCTTGACCGAGATGCTAAACTGTTGAATGTTTTCATCTTGTTTACGATTATTTTATAGTGTATTGTATTGTAGGTGTGTGTGTCAGTTAAAAGCTCCTCAAAACTTGTTTTATTTGTAATAACAATGCAGTTTAACCGACTTTAAAAATATTTCTATGTCGTCTATTTCTATGTAAAGAGATAAAGGTCTCAAATATGTCTTACCTTATAAAAAAGATTGACAGTTTGTCAAACATATAAAGGGTATAAACAAATAGGAGATGTATATTATTATCACCTATGGATGTTGTTAAAATATCAGTATTTGTGAACGAAAAAAAATCTTAATAAAGCAATTATACGTATATATCATGGTAGATTATAGTACTTTGTAAACCGATACGTGTGCTGTAAACCACAAAAAGATAGTTAAAAAATTAAAAGATCAGCTAGAAAAATGTCATTAAATATACTAGGCGTGGAAGAGGCTTTGAAATATAGTAAGTGGGTATAAACCTATCAGTATGATTTAAACCTGCCAGTAGACTGTTAACCGATCATTAATGTGTACAGTTAACGTTCAGTTTACCAACCGATCAGTAGGCTGTAATGTACTAGTCGGTAAAATTTTATCTCGTGTTCTTTTATCCGACGTTTTTTTTAAAAAAAAGGAGAAACATTATGTTTAATTAAATAGATGCTGTTCATACAGTAACGTCGTAAACAGTAATGGAAAGGAAAATTGACATCAGGAAAGGAAAAACCTAGAGTAGAAAATGTTGGTTAAGGATGACCACGAAAAAAGGGTGTAAAAAAGTCATGACACCATTTCTGTTTAATTTGACAATTGCAAGATCGAGTTGACGTGGATACATTTCATTTGTATATCTTTAGAATCTATGATTGTTCATTTTTTTAAGGGTTTTTTCTTTCTTCATTTAAAATGATATGTTGTAACTATCTGCGAGCATTTTTATAAGTCAGTCCAGTAGTGTTCCGATTGGTCTTTACGAATTCAGCCATACACTGTGATTCAGAAATTAATATAGGTATAGTTAATTTGAGATAGTTAAAGGATTATATTTATTTTACTGATAAGTAGATTTTACCCTTCCACTACTTTTTTTACTTCTTTAATTGTTATATCAAATGTCTTTAATTCCCCCTGGTAACTGATTAGACAATAAATTCGTGTTACTAAAGGCTTTCGACCTATGAATGAATGAAAATGGCAATTTTTAAATATGCATAAATAATAAGAAATATCGGGTATACACCAATGAAACAACAACCCAGCGACAAAATCATCAAAAGACTTCTAAAGGACAACATATATAGTCTTCAACAATAGACATTTTTCTTTAGAAAATATCCAGTTATGAATCGTATCGGGTCTGCAAAAACCAAAAATAAGTCTAAACGAGTTAAACAGTAACTCTCATACATTTGAAATCAACACTAAACATTTGTAAATATAAAAATAAGAAGATGTGGTATGATTGCCAATGGTGACCAAAATGACATAGAAGTTCACAAGTTCATTATGAAATCATGCAAAAAGATACTTTTTTATGGATAACATTTAAATTATGAAATTGCAAAAGGTATAACCATATCCCAATTACATCATAGCAACGTATTGTTTACATTTGATAACAAATGCAGTGTGATTTTCTTCACTAAGGCGAAGAACTCTTCAATAAAAAGAAGGATACTGCTTAAATTTAATGCAAACCTGTATGCAAACGACTTGAACTAGACAGCCATACTGCTTCGTTTTCTGAATAAATATCTGCAAGTGATCCCGTCTGTTTTTTGCATTACGCCTTCAAAAAGACTTTGAATTAGAATCAATTAAACACAACTTCCTTATTTGGTTAAACGAAAATATTTCAGTACACAAGAAAAAATTAACATACACAATGTAAAAAAAAAAAGCAGAAGAAGCTTACCCTGCTGACACACCTTGTCTCGGTCCTTTTAGAGTTCATGCAATTCTGTCAGGTTTTGTATTTTTGTCTGTATATTAAAAAAGGACTTACGAGTTTCGAACACTAGTTAATTACTGATGCCAACTTTACATATAAGACAATGCAGAATAGGAACACAGACGCTTTTTTATTTGAAGAATATCAAGTTTAATGATTATTAGCTTTATAATGAGACAAATGTTTTATTTCTTTTTATGGTTGGGTGTCGGAGGCAGCGTGTTTCCTGTTTTGATTCACCCTTTAAAGTGTTTTGCATACCGGATGTTTTAGAATCTTGTTAATATTGTTTTAATATAAATGTTTCAAAACAAGGATATAAAGTTGTCTATCAATAAGAAAAATTTTTCAAAAAATTGAGATAACACTTTTTTTTTAATTTACGTTCATCAGGAACGCTCAAACCGAACCATTTGAAAGCCAATGTCCATTGAGGAGCTAATGACCAAACTGGACGTACAGAGAATAGCCACATCATCCTTGAGTCAACATTGCCTTGATGGAACCTTATTTTCTTCTAAAATTATTTATGAATTTAACAACGGACAATTTAAGAAATGAATGATATAAATCATGTCAGTACCTAACCATTGGCTACAAAGCTGATGAAAGTTATCTTAACCTTTGGGGACTAGCAGGCCACCAGTCGCGGCATTAAACCAGTGCTAGAAACTGGAAATAATACTTTATAAATTTGGTTCGTCCGAAGCGCAAAACATCTAACAGTTGTTTTTGTAAACAAAGACCTATACAGTCTGCACTTTACACTTCAGTTTTAAATTTTCAAGACAAAAATAAGTAAATGTGAAATAACTTCCAATGAGACAAAAATCGAGAGCGAGCGAGCAAACCTCTAGCCCCATATGAAATTCACTGACACTGTATATATATATCGTATTAGGTCACTAGCACACTGTGTAACAAGTTTATTTTACCAGCTATCTTAACATGGGGAATTCTTGTAAATCTTCATGTCACAGTTTATACACCATATCAAACAGAACATTTAAGGAATAACAGTACTGTAGTTGAAGAGTTGCCACCGTCAATTGGCGATTTGACGATCGCAAATGCAGTTTTACTGGCGACGCGTAGCGGAGACAGTAAAACGGATATTTGCGACCGTCAAATCAAAATTGACGGTGGCAACTCTTCAACTACAGTACTGTTATTCCGATTCTAATGCATTTCAAAAAGAAATAATACGTAAAAGCTTGAAAAAATGTATAAATTTGAAATTTAATAAAATTCCGCGAAACTTCATGAATGATTTTGGCGCTAAAAAACTGAAGGTTATTTCGTTACTTCTACGATTCAAATTTGGATAAAATCACATCAAAACGGCGATTTTGAGGTAGGTGTTGTTTTATTTTCGATAATATTGTAGTAATCGAACATTTTGTTCATCCATGAATTCAAAATAGCGGGTCGCTCCTTAGTAACGACTGGTGAACTGTGGATTTGACGGTAACTTTTAGCCAATGAAAACAATTGTTACATAAAAATTGCATTAGAATTAATTATTTACAGTGAGAAAGTCAGCGCCTCTAAGCCATGTTGTTTGTCTAAAAGCATGAACAATTATAATACTATATGTTTGGAATGTATGTTAATTTTAGAACAACACATTTCTTTTTTTTTTTAAGGAATGTTATTCTACAACTAACTGTTTATTTAAAATAAACCACGCCAACTGACCGTTCAGCTAAAATAAAACACGCCCACTGACCTAATATTGATATATATGTCTCCCCCGTGTTCGCTTTTAACCAATGATATTTCTATAAGTGTATAACAAATATTATATTACGTTAACCCTCAGGATTTTAGCTGTTCAATTTATGCCTTTCTGGTCTCAAATGAATTACAATTTTGAATTTCAAAACCCTTGATCTTAGCGTACATTTAAGTGTTATTTCAGAAACATCTATTGTATGCACTTTTATTATACTTTTTGGCAAGATATATATATTGAACATTGAGACGGGGAACTTTTTGTGTGTTCGTGTAGTGATTTTGTATAGATTGATTCACCATATCCTCTCTTTTCCATTTTTTGTAAACTTTAACCGTAGGTGTCTATTGTTACGCTAATTTTTTCGCCTAAATTTTCGAATTGCACACCATGGATATAAGGATGCTGAACTATGGTAATGGCGTGGTCTTTGTCGCTGATCTGTTCTCTAATTGGACGAAAATGCCATTTTTGATGTTCGAACTTACTTTTGTGTTTTAATTTTTTGTGATGTACAGCAGGTTATAGTTTTAAATATGGATATCTGAGACAAAAAAAAAACAATCTTATAACAATTATTATATTACAATTAAAGTATTCTTAATAAATAGTTTTTTTTAACTACAAAACCAAATATTTAACTAGTGGAAAATTTCGAAACAATACAGAACGCATCAATCCATGCTGTTTTTTTTTTTTTTTTATTTTTTTATTTTTTTTTTTGCGGGCTTTCAAAGAACTTTAACATTCAAACCATTCAAAAATATATGCACACACTATATAACAATAGACTTAATTATGGACAGAAAATCTCACATCTTCAAGATAAACAGAATGAAGGTATTGAAATGGTCGTTATCTAATGCAAACATTTTTTTAGTTCACTTCCATCGCTCCCTTTGATTAATTATGCATATTAAAATAGTTTGTACAGGTAAATATTGGTTTACATCAGGTTCAGAATAGCTTTATTTTTTTAGCTATTAATGCTATAAGAATATCTTCCTCTGACACTTTTCAAAGGGAAACGTCACCACATTAATACAATTTTGTGCACACGCAAGAGCAATTGATAGACATAATTAAGTATTGAATATTTGTGGGTACAAGATATAATATTTAAATTAAAGAGTGTCAAAATATATTTAACAACTTTGATTACTTGTCGAAAGATTTCACATAGATCATCTCCCATCGGCGTCCGTCTGAGATATGCGCCGAAAAGGATTGCGTCTCTTATTGTTTAATTTATGCTTTTATAGTTACCATTGCCATTTCTTCCCTGTTTTTAATCCGTTTTTTGTTCAAGTTGTTATCTGTTACATTGTATATATATTCATCTTAATTTCACAGGCACTAGTCTCTGAAAAAATACTCGTTATATCTTTACAAGTTAATTAACGATTTAGATATACATAGTTCAACGGTTAGAGACTGCGTGTTTTCAATTTTCAGAATTGGCAGATTGTTTACGCCAAATTAACGACATTTAAATATGATCAAAAAGACATAAAAACAAATATGCTCCCATCTGAAGACAAGCCTAACTCTGAATTACTAGCCAAACACGTGAAGACCTATATGACCAAACAGGAAATAAACAAATAATTTCAACTATGCAAAAGGAAGTTTGAACCTTACTTTTTTAATATTTTTTCAATCTATCATCGGACAATTTGATTGTAAAAGTCACACCTTTTAATAGTAGCAAATTAAATTGTATAGTATAATAATTGTACTATTAGCCGATACTTATAAGATATGAGATGGACGGCACGCTATTGATATATGCAAAATCTATTTAACCTTTTTTATTTTATATATATATATATATCAGCACAACTATGTTAAATCTGCAAATTTGCGGAAGCAAATTTTTGTTCATCCCTCGCCGGGATTCGAACTCATGGTATTGGGATATCGAGACAACAACGCCTGCACTGTGTCCAGCGCTCTAGACCACTCATTCACCTAGACTGAACAAAATTCTGCTTTCGGTGGCCTATTGTTACCTTTCCTCGTCAGTAGAATCTAGAGTTGTAACACAGTACATGATATATTAGGCATGAAGATGGTATTGATTGCAGATTAGGTAAATAATCTATCGTAAGATGCAGTCACAGAAATAGTTATATGATAAGTACGTCTAAACAAGTGATAAGTGATGTATATATATATAAGTGATGGAGGACATTCATAAACAATCAAAGTGATATTCAAGACAAAGATCAGATCAGTACATGACAGTAGCAATTAGGAACATAAGATTTCAATGTTCAACTAAGTGTCTGACCTTATCTTAAAATGGTAATTTCAGCTATTTTTGTGACATACCTTATAGATATAAAGATTTATATCTCACTGGACGGTACCCAATATAAAGAAAGGACATGATTTATAAAGGGAGCAAACAGACGGGTTTGTGGATTTAGATACCAGAAAAACAACTGACTGCAACGATATGCAAAGCTCTGATAATACCTGTTAAAATGTTTATCATAAATTATGTGGTTCTAGAATTACCTGTGCACTATTCCATGACAAAGTTTGTCCACTAAAACAATAGCATGCGCCAAAGTCGTCACGTCGCATCCATCCTCCGTCGCAGTTAAGTGTATCCTCTGCCAATCCTATTAACAATATGAGAATATATATAATTTGTAAGTTTGCACAAAATATCATTTCTACATGCATAATTGTTATACTGGTTATTGTTTTTTGCGATTCCTTTTACTTAACTGGATAAATAAGAAAAGTTGTTTCTTGTTTAGCCTGTGCACATGTGCATACTTTCATGCCACACACTTATACATTAAACCGATGAAAAGATTTTATGATGACAGTAGAAAATAATTTTGAGACTTAGTATAAGCATTAAATTTAAATAAAATCGAAACCAATATTGTGTCCAAATTGATACCAACGAGGAAAGTGCTAAATGTAAGATTGAAGTATATAAATCTGTAAGTAAAACAATTACACAATGCTGGTTAACTGATGAACTTGAAAGAAGATATTTATATTGAAATATTGATCTCTAGACTGGTTCCTTGTCATTTATCTGTTTGACTCTAACAACTAGGGTGGCTTAGATACCCGTATGTTGATAGTTTGTGAAACAATGTGTACACATCATAATTTATAAAAAATACATATGTTTAACATTTATGCAGTAGAAAGAACTTTTGTTTTTAAATTGATAGCAAGTGGCATCGATTTTAAATCAATAATATTTATCCCTTGCCTGAAAATTCAAGTCCCAGTATTTGACCTATTATTTAACCCATTATTCATAGGATCAAACTCATGTAAATGAAGAATTATATATTGTCCATGGTTCCGCGTACTGTAGACACAAGAAATGTTTTAGTTTCATACAGAGAAAAAATTGTCGTTTGTTAGTAGTTTATTTGAAAGTAAAAATTTAGTTCTATACAAATTAAGGAGATGTGTTATGATTGCCTATGAGACAACTATCCCCATAGACCAAATGGCGTAGATGTTAGCAACTATAGGCCGCCGTACGGCCTTCAAAAATGAGCAAAACCCATACCGCATATAATTTTATAAAAGGCACCGGCATAGCAATATGTAAAACAATTTAAATGAGAAAACAGTATATGCTTGATTTATGTACAAAACAAAAACTGAAAAACAAATATGACACACAGCAACAAACGACAATTAATGGGTTTACAGAACAGAGAATTATGATCAAAACATAGAGAATAAAAGGAAACAAAATTAGTAATTGAGAAAACTTTGCAAATAAATAAAAAAATTATAGCCGAAAATAATGTGTAAAAGAGCAGATACTAATTGCATAAAAACTATATAGCAGGAAAAACTTGCATCAAAAATAAATTAATACAAAAATAAAGATCCCCTTCCCCCGATTCAGAACTTCATATATCTCTAAAGGATCTTTCACCATAAGAATAACCTGGACAACAGCTGGATGGTAAGCAATTCATGTGCTCAATACATTTTCCTGTGCAGTTTTTTCCGCTATATTGAGGATGTGGATTAGAACATTGGCGATAACGTAGAAGGGTACCGACATCACATGTGACACTGCAGGGTTCCTGCATCCAAACGCTCCATTGTCCGTCAACTGAAAATATACATCTTTTTATATTATTTCCATTTATAATAATATGTTTTTGAAACAAATAGTTAAACAAATCATTGCAATAAACAAGTCTTAAAACTGCGAAGATGAAAAAAGTGATCATTTACAATTTGAAGAGCTTTTTTTTTGTGTGAAAAATTGTAATAGACTATTTTAAACTATAAAGTTTCACAGTTACTGTATATTTCTGGTATCATTGCAGCTGTGTGCGGTAGATATGAAAATTGTTTTTTAACAACATCAGACATAACATTGCGGTTTTTTTTTCTTCATATTTTTATGTAAAGATGTTTTGATTGATGATGCTAATTTCAACATGCAGGTTCAAGTAGTGTAGTTGCATTTTAATAGACATTGACTGTGCATCACTTCTTGACGATAAATTTCAAAATTGTTCAAAATAGTTTCCGTCTTGCTTAATATCCGACCATGTTTTATTAAATATATATAAATAAATTACTCTCCTTAAATTTTAGAATTTGGAAAATCTCAAAAACGTAATCATTCCCACTTCTAGGTATATAAAGTAAATAGAAAAAGAAAAAGAAACGACAATGCATCGTCGTTTTTAATATCATTCACTGATGTTCGATACAAGGGGACAACTTAGCTCCTCGATTATGTGACAGCAGTGATTTATCTGATCAACACATTATGTTTTACCCTTTCTTGTATTGTTTTCTTTACCTTGGATATTTTCATTTTCGGGTATTGAATTTTACATTTATTCTTCTATTTAATGAAGTTTGTTGTTGAGTTTTCAAAATGACAAGGTTACAAAAAAGTTGTTATATGATGATGTTCACGGTACATATACATGTTCAGAATCATCTGAAAAGTCTGAACAATAAATTAATTATTAATAGTGGCTTTTCATACAATTCAGTATGTTGTTGATCTGTACAGTGAAATAGCAACAACTGAACAGTCTGACGATAGATTGAACAGATCTTAATTGACTGCAAGCGAATTGTACGAGCTGTACTGAATTTACCGCAATAGATAAGTCTGAAAATTCACTGAAAAACTGAAAATGACTTTTATATCTATTGTTCAGTCTTTTAAGACCAGAAATGATCAAAACGGCCGTTCCAGACTAAAACATATTTACAAGTGCGTATATTATATGCATACTAGGACGTGATTGAACTGTTCAAGTATTTTTTTTAACGTGCCCCCCAAAAAAAACATGTTATTTGACCCGAACACATAATTAGAAGCAACAAATACCAATTTTCAAGTCTTTGGTTTGACCCAGCCGGGGATCGAACCCATGATTTTCTGCAATCAAGGCGAACACGCTACCACGAAACCACCTAGATATTAAATATTGAAATATATTTGCGCAAAAATACGTTAATATCAATCGATGACATATATGCGTCCGTACGATTGATTTTGACACATAAACATTTTAAAACATTAGCGAGAAACATTGTTCTGTTGATTTTTTCCTATATTATGCATAGTGATGTTTTCGCTGTCGAATTCAAAATGGCGAAAAACCTTCCGGATCAGTGTTCATTTTTTAAGGAATGTTATTCTACAACTAACTGTTTATTTAAAATAAACCACGCCAACTGACCGTTCAGCTAAAATAAAACACGCCCACTGACCTAATATTGATATATATGTCTCCCCCGTGTTCGCTTTTAACCAATGATATTTCTATAAGTGTATAACAAATATTATATTACGTTAACCCTCATGATTTTAGCTGTTCAATTTATGCCTTTCTGGTCTCAAATGAATTACAATTTTGAATTTCAAAACCCTTGATCTTAGCGTACATTTAAGTGTTCTTTCAGAAACATCTATTGTATGCACTTTTATTATACTTTTTGGCAAGATATATATTGAACATTGAGACGGGGAACTTTTTGTGTGTTCGTGTAGTGATTTTGTATAGATTGATTCACCATATCCTCTCTTTTCCATTTTTTGTAAACTTTAACAGAAGGTGTCCATTGTTACGCTAATTTTTTCGCCTAAATTTTCGAATTGCACACCATGGATCTAAGGATGCTGAACTATGGTAATGGCGTGGTCTTTGTCGCTGATCTGTTCTCTAATTGGACGAAAATGCCATTTTTGATGTTCGAACTTACTTTTGTGTTTTAATTTTTTGTGATGTACAGCAGGTTATAGTTTTAAATATGGATATCTGAGACAAAAAAAAAACAATCTTATAACAATTAATATATTACAATTAAAGTATTCTTAATAAATAGTTTTTTTTAACTACAAAACCAAATATTTAACTAGTGGAAAATTTCGAAACAATACAGAACGCATCAATCCATGCTGTTTTTTTTTTTTTTTAATTTTTTTATTTTGTTTTTTTTTGCGGGCTTTCAAAGAACTTTAACATTCAAACCATTCAAAAATATATGCACACACTATATAACAATAGACTTAATTATGGACAGAAAATCTCACATCTTCAAGATAAACAGAATGAAGGTATTGAAATGGTCGTTATCTAATGCAAACATTTTTTTAGTTCACTTCCATCGCTCCCTTTGATTAATTATGCATATTAAAATAGTTTGTACAGGTAAATATTGGTTTACATCAGGTTCAGAATAGCTTTATTTTCTTAGCTATTAATGCTATAAGAATATCTTCCTCTGACACTTTTCAAAGGGAAACGTCTACACATTAATACAATTTTGTGCACACGCAAGAGCAATTGATAGACATAATTAAGTATTGAATATTTGTGGGTACAAGATATAATATTTAGATTAAAGAGTGTCAAAATATATCTAACAACTTTGATTACTTGTCGAAAGATTTCACATAGATCATCTCCCATCGGCGTCCGTCTGAGATATGCGCCGAAAAGGATTGCGTCTCTTATTGTTTAATTTATGCTTTTATAGTTACCATTGCCATTTCTTCCCTGTTTTTAATCCGTTTTTTGTTCAAGTTGTTATCTGTTACATTGTATATATATTCATCTTAATTTCACAGGCACTAGTCTCTGAAAAAATACTCGTTATATCTTTACAAGTTAATTAACGTTTTAGATATACATAGTTCAACGGTTAGAGACTGCGTGTTTTCAATTTTCAGAATTGGCAGATTGTTTACGCCAAATTAACGACATTTAAATATGATCAAAAAGACATAAAAACAAATATGCTCCCATCTGAAGACAAGCCTAACTCTGAATTACTAGCCAAACACGTGAAGACCTATATGACCAAACAGGAAATAAACAAATAATTTCAACTATGCAAAAGGAAGTTTGAACCTTACTTTTTTAATATTTTTTCAATCTATCATCGGACAATTTGATTGTAAAAGTCACACCTTTTAATAGTAGCAAATTAAATTGTATAGTATAATAATTGTACTATTAGCCGATACTTATAAGATATGAGATGGACGGCACGCTATTGATATATGCAAAATCTATTTAACCTTTTTTATTTTATATATATATATATATATCAGCACAACTATGTTAAATCTGCAAATTTGCGGAAGCAA